GGAACAGAGACATGGAGAGTAGATAGAGGAAGGCATTTCCGTAAGTTTCCCATAGTTAACCAAGGAAATAGAACTGGCTGGCTTTTCAGCATAATGAAAAACAAGTAATAATGAATTTGTGAAAGCAAGATGAGTTTAAAATAAAATGCTACCAAATGCATTATTTTAAGATAGAGTTCACGTGTGAATCATTATATCAGAAGCAAAATAGATAACAATCAATTGTAAGACTTTACACCATAGAAAATAAAAGACTTTTAAAAAAAAACCTGAAATTTGGTGTATATCCCTAAAGGCTTACATATAGGGTCCGAATTATTCATACAACTTGAATGGATACAAGAAACCAGCTATTTTAACAGACGTTTTTAAATGTTTATTTTTTTACAGGACTACGGAAGAGGATTAATAACTACCTGATTTTTAACTGGGCAGGCACAGCATGGTTCCTATTGCAGGGGGTGGACTGTGAAGCTATCACCGTACTATGATGGTGAGGGTCACTCTTTTTCCCAGGACAGGGAGGGGCTGCTGCAGCAAAACATGAGGGATACTCTGGATCAAGACAAAAACCACCCTGAGTCAGATTTGGATGAAGGAAAACTATTTAATTTGAGTTGGAAGCCAAAAAGTGTTGATTTAGCCCAATAAAGAACAGAAGCGTCAAAGTCCAGTCCTTAAGGGCAGCTGTCTTGCTCCTTTTAGATGTGATTCTGAGTCCAATAATCGGGTCATTAGCAGGACTCTGCAGAACTTGGCTTCAATGATAATTCAGCCAATGGAGGCAGGTGAGAAGGAAAGATGCAACTAAAGGTTGCTGGAAACCAGCCCTCCTGGATTGGAGTTTGATGCCACAGGTTTATTCTATTGAATCCTATGGAGTTAATGCCCTCTAGGGGATGATGGCGGCTCAGGAGGTAAGGCTTCGTCCTCTAGTTGCCAATTCTGAGTCCGCCGGAGATGGGGGATCTGGAGTCAACCAGTCATCTCTATGTCATGTATTTATTCTGCCCAGCCACTGATGCAGGCGAGTCCACCCAGCTTAGGTTAATTCCTGCTGATCGGACTCACCTGCTTCAATGGCTGGGCAGAACAATTACATGACATAGAGATGACTTGTTGACTCCAGATCCACCATCTCTGGCCCCCGCTCCGTTTGGCTCTATCATTGGGTTCACTGACCTTGGCCAGCAGCTGATTTGTGTCAGTCTGCCCCAGAGCAGCAGTGGCTACAGTGTAGCTCAGGGATTCCCAACCAGGGGCACTAGTACCCCTAGTGGTCCGCCAATGCATTGCAGGAGGTACCTGAAAACAGCTAATATTTTACTTCCCAGATAAAGAAATAGAATAAAATACAGGTGCTGGTCATAAAATTAGAATATCATGAAAAAGTAGATTGATTTCAGTAATTCCATTTAAAAAGTAAAACTTGTATATTATATTCATACATTACATACAAACTCATATATTTCAGATGTTTATTTTGTTTAATTTTGATGATTACAAATGACAACAAATGAAAATCTCAAATTCATCATATCAGAAAATTAGAATATTACTGAAGACCAATAAAAACAAAGGATTTATAGAAATGTTGGCCAACTGAAAAGTATGAACATGAAAAGTATGAGCATGTACAGCACTCAGTATTTAGTTGGGCCTCCTTTGGCCTGTATTACTGCAGCAATGCGGCGTGGCATGGAGTCGATCAGTCTGTGGCACTGCTCAGGTGTTATGATAGCCCAGGTTGCTCTAATAGTGGCTTTTAGCTCTTCTGAATTGTTGGGTCTGGTGTATTGCATCTTCTTCTTCACAATACCCCATAGATTTTCTATGGGGTTAAGGTCAGGAGAGTTTGCTGGCCAATTAAGAACAGGGATACCATGGTCCTTCAACCAGGTACTGGTAGCTTTGGCACTGTGTGCAGGTGCCAAGTCCTGTTGGAAAATGAAATCTGCATCTCCAAAAAGTTGGTCAGCTGCAGGAAGCATGAAGTGCTCTAAAACTTCCTGGTATGTGGCTGCGTTGACCCTGGACCTCAGAAAACACAATGGACCAACACCAGCAGATGACATGGCACCCCAAACCATCACTGACTGTGGAAACTTTACACTGGACTTCAAGCAACGTGGATGAAGTGCCTCTCTTCTTTTCCTCCAGACTCTGGGACCTTGATTTCCAAAGGAAATGCAAAATTTACTTTCATCAGAGAACATGACTTTGGACCACTCACCAGCAGTCCAGTCCTGTTTCTCTTTAGCCCAGGCAAGACGCTTCTGACGCTGTCTGTGGTTCAAGAGTGGCTTGACACAAGGAATGCGACAGCAGAAACCCATGTCTTTCATACGTCTGTGTGTGGTGGTTCTTGAAGCACTCACTCCAGCTGCAGTCCACTCTTTGTGAATCTCCCCCACATTTTTGAAGGGGTTTTGTTTCACAATCCTCTCCAGGGTGCGGTTATCTCTCTTGCTTGTACACTTTTTTCGACCACATCTTTTCCTTCCCTTCGCCTCTCTATTAATGTGCTTGGACACTGAGCTCTGTGAACAGCCAGCCTCTTTAGCGATGACCTTTTGTGTCTTGCCCTCCTTGTGCAAGGTGTCGATGGTCGTCTTTTGGACAACTGTCAAGTCAGCAGTCTTCCCCATGATTGTGTAGCCTATAGAACTAGACTGAAAGACCATTTAAAGGCTTTTGCAGGTGGTTTGAGTTAATTAGCTGATTAGAGTGTGGCACCAGGGGCCATCAATTTTGAACCTTTTCACAATATTCTAATTTTCTGATATGATGAATTTGAGATTTTCATTTGTTGTCATTTGTAATCATCAAAATTAAACAAAATAAACATCTGAAATATATGAGTTTGTATGTAATGTATGAATATAATATACAAGTTTCACTTTTTAAATGGAATTACTGAAATCAATCTACTTTTTCATGATATTCTAATTTTATGACCAGCACCTGTAGGGCTGGGTTTTGCACTGTAGGGATTTCACTACTTATTCAATTTGCAGGCAACATATTTATGTTTTTTTTTTCTATTATAACTGAAAATAATGAAATGTCTGAGCATGAAATGTTCAAGGTAGGAAAATTAAATAAATATTTTTTATTTTTTAAATCACTTTTATTTTTCTATTTGTGGAAAATAATCAACACATTTGACCAAGGGGTAGTCATTCTGTTCTAGACATAACCCTCTCTTTTGATCTGGGCTTGGGACCAGCACCAGGAGCACACAGAGCCATGGATCCTAGAGGCAGGATTATTATGTTTTTTTTTTATTATTATTATTGAACGGTACATGGAATAAAATACATTTATAGATTTCTATACATTCTTGATTAAATGGTTGGCATCTGCTTCCAGCCTTCAGTGGGAAACTGGGGGGACATTCTTCATTCAAGGTGATCGTTGTGTTCTGAGGCAGAGATAAAAACCACAACCATCCCATGGATCAGCAGATGTTACTGTTGCTGTGGGGAGGTGGGTCCTTCTGCTTCTGGAGACTTCTGTCTTTCAGTCAAACACTTGTGAATATCCTAAACTTTCTCTGACGTTGGAGTGTGTTTAATGATGTGAACAAACAGTCAGGTCCCGTCTCACCTCTTGGGAACAAACACAAGGAACGGCCAGGGTCCATTAGGAGGTTCTTGGAGAAAGCATTGCAGGAAAAACGCCTTCTGGCTCTCATAGTTGAAGCGTGTCCATATTTGGACACGTGTTGCAGATGTTTCTGTTCTTCCATCAGGCTCTCTGTTGATGTTTTCCTCTCCTCCTCCATCTCTTTCAGAGCCTCTTCTGTTGATGTGAGGCTCTCTAGAAGGCAGGACTTCTCTGTTTGCCTCTGCTGCCTCTTATGGTGCAGTACCTCTTGAACATCTTCATTGCTGCTTCTGTATTTCTCACAGTTTTCTGCTGCTCTGTCAGGAGCCTGGATTTTTCCTGGATCCAGAACTGTCTTTGGTTCTCTAGGTCTTGCTGAACTTTGACCAAAGCAGCCTGAGAATTCTGACTTTAATCTCAGAATTCTGACTGAATTCTGACAGCTAACAAGCATGTTAGCATCAAGCCATAGCCATGTCTGTTTTAGAGACTACAGTAAACTATCTCTCTTGTTTTAATCACCTTCTGCTCTTCCATTAATGAAATATCATCACCGGGGACCCCTCATGTAAAAATGTACCTAATTCTGTCATTTTCCACCAATGTGTCCCAAACAACTCAGCTGAGTGCTCCCACATCTCTTCTTTCATGGTGCCCATCTACATTAAGATCCAAAATTCTGAGATTTAAGTCAGAATTCTGGGAAAAAAGTCAGAATTCTGAGATTAAAGTCAGAATTCTGAGAAAAAAGTCAGAATTCTGAGATTAAAGCAAAAATTCTGACTTGTTTCCCATATTAAACTGAAATAATATTTAAAAATCTGTTAACTTTTTTAATTTTTTCAGTGGCCCTAATCCTCTTCCATACAGGACTGAATGTTCAAGGGTTAAATGAATGGGGGAGTCCAAAAAATAGTGCATATCTACAGTATGAAGGGGGATTTTACATTTACAATATTCAAAACGGTCTTTTTTTTTATATATTTATCTAAATATCTGTAAATTACAAAATAATCAGCTCAAACCACCAATTCAGATGGGCCAAACTGGAAAAGATGCAGGAAAATGATAAAAGAAATAAGGCATGATTTGATCTTAATGCAAAATAGGTCTAAATAAGTTCTGGTGATGCTTTTAAATTTTAGAAAGTTATGTTATCAAAATTGTTGGAAGCCTCCTGTCCTGTCAAATAAATATTTGTGTTTTAACAGGATCATTTCCTTCCTTTTTGTAATGTTTAATGGTCAAACTTTCACAGGACAATGATCCCAGAGACATTAAAAATAGACATATTGCTCCTGGAAAGAACCAGGGTAAGTAGAAAGGCTTTTAATTTGAAAGCTAGAAAAGGGAAACCTGTTTGTCATAAAATGTGCGCTTGACGCTGAGGATGTGAAGCTGGAGCGGGAGAAGCAGCTGAGACAGGTGGAAGGTGTGACTGGCTGTTTATGAATGTGGAGGAGACAGCAAAGGCTGAGGGCGTGAAGACAAGAAGGAGAGAAGCGAAGGGAGGAAGGGGGAGTCTGCCCAGAGCCGGAGGAGCTGAGGGAAGGAGAGGAGGAGGAGGAGAGAGGAGGAGAAGGATGTCTGAGAGGATCGCTTCGTGCGGGAACCTGTGTGACAGCACCAACCTGCTGCTACAGTATTGCAACAACGGTGAGATGGCAACCAGGTTATCAGCTGTAGTAAGGAAATAATTACTGGCAAAAAAAAAAAAAAAAAGAAATTCAATTAACTGATATTTAATTAGATGTAGCTGCTTCTTTTAAAACTGTAAGTCTATATTATTTATATTTATCTAAATGTTATTTTTAACCTCTGTTTGGAATTAAAACTGAAGCTGTTTTTATAGTCTGTAAGTAGCTACACCTTTGAAAATTTAATTTAATATAATAAAAATGTCAGATCAGAGCCGGATGAGCTTTAGTCGTATTTATATACATTTATTCTTTTTTATATACTTGAAATAATGGCACTAATTCCCAGTATTTAACCAATCATCTCCTAATTTAATATTTTTTTAAAGCTGCTCCTGTTTACTTCCACCTGCATAAAGATGTGCATTTAGATAGGCCTGTTGTTAAAAGGTTAGTGGAAGGGGCCGTATAGATGACTAAGGTCCACCTCTTTGTTAAGTGATCACATTTCATTGATTGAGACGAAGCAGAAAGTACACTGACTCTTCAAGGTGTTTTAAATTTCTAAATTATATTGTAAAAAAATAAATAAAAATAAAATAATGAATCAAACCTAGTGACCCATGATGCCATCACTTATAAAACAAATTCTCTTCAATCAAGTGCTAGAAATAAACAGGGTGCACAACATGCTGTCTGATCACTGGCTGTTACTTTAACAGAGGCGTCATCATGAATGGAAGCATTGTTCTACCTGCCTGATCACTGCATTTACTGTATAGCAGAGTTTACAGTAGAGTTCTGTCTATCTTTGAGTTTGTTTCCTCCTCTTCCTCCCAGGCATGCATGTCTGCGTCTTTGATATCTGGATTTTCATATGGCCATTGCATGCAAATAAATATCCTCTGTCAGAATTTGGGTATTTATCATATATAGCATCAAAGGAGGGCTTTAACATTTGAATTAAATATTGAAATTTTGAAGCAGCTGTTTAGAACATGCACAGTGCCTCTAAAAGTGTCCATATGTCTAGAGCTTTTTCACCTCATGACCACTATCTTCAGCACTGAGGCCTTATGTTATAGATGGTGTTGCACCGGTACCGATACCAGTATCGGGCAGGGTGCCTGATCCCGCACTAAAATGGTGGTATCAGTATCGGCGAGTACCAACAAATAGAGCACTGATACCCTTTTCAGAGCGAAAAGTTATTTAACTATAGTCACCCGTAGGCAATAAAAAGTTCTACTGCATTCAGTTTGTATTAGTCTTTTTCCTGCTTCACAAAGGTAGGCAGCAGCTTGACAAAGCTATGATGGCAATTATTTTACATACAAGTAGTATTCAGTTCTTTATTTATCCACACATCAATTTCAAACAGATGATATCTGTATTGTTTGGTATTAGCCAATACTGCAGAGCCAGATATCGGGTATTGGGGCCAAAATATGGCATAGGTGCAACACTAGTTATAGACCAACATAAAGTACCCAATCATCGTAAAGTGGGAGTAATATAGATACCTTTCTTCTTTCTAAATATATTTATACTGTCAGTCAGTATTTACTCATTCACTACCATGGCAGCGGCAGGTCTTCTTAGGCATAGCTCTAGCAAATCTGAATATCTGGTGAACATTTTGTGGTATTTATTGTTTATTGGTATTTATTGGGGTGTTTATTTATTGCTAACAGTTCAAAATATCTACAGCTGTTCTGTAGTCTTTCTCTGGGGAACTGTGTGGCTTTGACTGCATTTCACTCTACTCAAAGCCTTGAAAACACAAATACTGCCTTTTGGAAATGTTACATTTTCAAAAAAAGCTTCTGCAGGATGCCATTTACATTAATAGTGTGTGGCTTTTAGCTCTACCATTAAAAAAATACCTGCATTACTCATTGTTTGAGTTTTGTTGATGCTCTATGGAATGTGACAGTGGAGAAAATAGGGTTAAATCTCTCCTAGTTTGGGGGTTTTTACAACTCCGAATCAAAATAATTTTACTAAATACATTAACCCAAAAATAAACACTAGAAACATCTCTGCTTCTGTCTCCTTTAACCCCAGTCAGCCTCAGCAGATGGCTGCTCACTCTGAGCCTGGTTCTGCTGGAGGTTTCTTCCTGTTAAACAGGAGTTTTTCTCTCCACTGTCGCTACAAGCATGTTTGGTGTCAGGGATTGCCATTGAGCCATTAAGTCGATGCAGTCAGCTGGTTTTCCTTAGATAGAAAACTTTGAATCATTTGACTGTATGATCTGATCGAATTGTTTCTCTAAAGTGCCTTGAGATGACATGTGTTGTTAATTGGTGCTACAGTATATAAATAAACTGAATTGAAATTGAATTGACTTGTATGGAGCTAATTCGATTGTGAAATCTGGCCTTTAAAGCATTGAAAAGTCAAGCTCTAAATTGAAATATTTAAAAATCAACACATTGAAAATACAAACACTAAGAATTCAAACATTGTACACTGGAATGTGGAACATTGAAAATGTAAAATTCCCTCTAAAAATACAGTGTCAGCTTGAAGGAACTCTCCAGTGGCAATGAGATCATCTCTCATTTAAAAAAGGCTGCAGCTAACAATGACTGTATCATCATAGTTTTTTACTTATTTAGAGGAAATGTAAAATTTTGAGCGTTTGATTTTTCAATGCCAAATTTCCTATTCAATGTCAAAGCAAGCTGTCACTGATTTAGCTCCATAGCAGCACATCTCTTTCAGTCACAAACTTTACTTTGACTGGGCCATTCTAGCACAGTATAGCCCCGGCTTTATGTTTTGAGTTTGATGACTTGATGGCAGGTCAACCTTGTTTTCTCCTCACATGATGACTAGATCAGGCCCATTTTTTCCGTATGTTCCCTACAGGATTTGTAGCCAACAGAAACCAAAGCATATGATTGTTTAGTTTCACAGACAGCTGTGAGATTTCCACAGCTTGAGAAATTGTTTTACAAACTAACCCTGCTTCTCCAAATCCCTCTTTCTGACCTGGCTGCTAGGCTCTTTGTCTTTATGCTATTGTTTGTTCACTGATGTTTTCTATCACACCTCTCAGACTTTTGTAGTGAGATTCCATTGTACTTGTAAATAAGATAATAAATGTTATTGGATCTAACTTGTTAAATACAAGAGATTACACAGAAATGTACTCCTTTTATTCACTACCTGTTTTCTTAAGGCATGTCTGAAGCACTGGCCTTTATTTAGCCGTATTAGACTGATTTGGGGTTACGCTTTTCACTTTGACTTCCTTTTATATGCACTTTCTTTTTTATTCAGAGTTATCCTCTACTTTGTGTTGGTTTTTCATCTAAAACTCCAATAAAAACATTTCAGTATACACTTGCAACATGAAAAAAATATGAATATGAAAGTTTGAGGTGTATGAAGGGTAGATTTTTTGAACTCTCTAAGCCAGAGCTAGATGTTTATTAGAGGGAAGTGAGCCTTGATGCATTGTGGATTATTAAAGCCCACAGACGGGCCAACTCTGTGACAGGTGCAGGGACAGCGAGGGGCGGTGAAAGCCTGACCAGAGCTGTGATGGTTCGACATGATCAGTCTGGTGAATACTGAGGTTTTAAATCCTTCTGAAGATCTATGAATACTTATCATCTCAAATGAATGATCCGAATCCTCTTTGCTGACAGTGAGGGAGAGATGCAGAGCAGAGAGTAACTCTGGACTGACTTGTTAAGTGACAGCTGGTCCTGCACGGGGAGATCAGATGTTATAGCTAAGCTCCTCCCCTTTTACCACGACTGAATATCTGATTTTATCTGATTGTTAAAACCAAAGGAAAACACAACTTTAAAGTTTGTGAATGTAAAGATGAATTTGAATTGAAAAACTCAGAGACAAAGTGCAGTGGATTGTTTTTAGTTTTCTTTTTTTGGAATGACTATGACCTGGATGACGGGGAACCTTCACCAGGGTAAAGATAAAACATATTTACAGGAGTAACACTACAAATGATAAAGAATCGTTCACGTGGGAAACCCCAGAATCTGGCTGTCATTGGAATATTAAAGAAACACTACATCTAGATTCCACACAAAACACCATCTCAGGCCAGAATCCTCTTAGATGATTGGTTAAATCACCAGACAAGCTCAGGGAGTTGATGCTGATCTAGTTTTGTCCCTCCTTCATTCATGTGTCTGAATAATCTAGCTTTTATCTCTTTTTACATCACAGCCAGTGACATAAGAAGAACACGTTTCTGTATTTTCATTGCCTAAAATTTCACTTATATAACTCAATGCATCACTGATAATAGTAGTAACATTCTGGGGCTTTCAGCTGATTAATGAATGAACATGCTTTTTTTTCTTTCAATAATTGATCTAAATGCTTTGGTGGCTGAAAAACATGCCCACATCATCAGCCATCTACTGTCGTGCTTTATCGATGACATGAGGTGTTTGTGCACAAATATTGCCTTTGTTTTTATGCAGTGTTTGGTATGAAAAATATACACTGTGTAATATTTAGAGTTTTTTTTTCCATCATGCGATGCAAATGTAAAGTTTATTTGGATAGTGGAATGTTTTTTTTTTTAACCTTCCCTTAATAACATCAGAGGTATTTCCTGTGTGGTTTAGGTGTGTGATAGTAAAGAAGGAAGATTCATGCAAATTAAACTTAGCCATAATCATTATGACAGTTTTTATCAGTTGAATCACAATTAGATATTTTCCAGGTAATGTACAGCCTTATATTAAAAAAAAAAACAAATTAACAAGGAAATAAAAAACAAACATCTTTTGTCCCATCTCTCCAAAGAAAATTGATCTAGTTCTTTTATTTCCATACAGAAGCCCAAATTGTTTTGCAATCCTTATTTTTAAAGACACATTTTCATGAAATCCTCCCAAACAGGCCTTTCCTTTTTGTTGCTTTTTGTCGTTACCATCCACTTTTAACAAAATTTCGTGGTTTGCAGTCAGTGTCCACTTGTAAATGATTTCTCTTAAAGTCATATGATGGACTTTAAGCTGTTTGTTA